ATATTATTAGTGATAATAATCTTATATATATATATATTACTACTATCACTTTCGCGTTAAAAAAATAAAAAAAATATAGTTGGAGTAAAAAATAACTATTATTTTAGTTAGATCGACAATTTCTCTTTTCTCTCAATATACTATATTTATATACAGAAAATAAAATAAATTTGTCGCTGTGTGTAATACATCTGTAATATATCTGTTAGAGACACGCGAAATATTTGGATTTGAATCAAGTTGAATCAGATAAGATTCAATTTTATTCGAATCCGGGTTTTTACCGTTCGAGTCTGAATTATTAAAAAATTTCGAATTACGGAAATTTAAATACAGATCTCGCATATTGGCAATCTTAAAAAATCCTATTTTCCGCTAACAAGTCATATTTAGACCTCCTCACTTGTCTAGTTTCAATCAATTAGCATTAGGAATCAATTAGCACAAAATTAAACAAAAAGAAGAGGTAGTAGAGTACTAATATTAATAATTGAAATTCAGGAAAACTAAACTCATAATAATTGAGGAAGATTGATTCGCCGCTTATATTGCAAGTCCGGAAAAATATGTGCGTGTTGTCACATGTTCAAACATTATCTTCTCGTATACAGAGTGAATTTTATAGCAAAATTTACTATAGAATTATTATATTACAGAATTTTGAAATTGAGAAATAGATTGACATTCTGCAGTACTTGACTGTCCCTTTATTTCATACATGCCATTTATATTTTAGGAATTGATATTCTAAAAAAATTTCTATTCCCAGCGAAATTTACTATATTTCTTAGTAAAGTAAATCTTGCTGACAGTTTATTCTTGCACTACTACACGGAGAGAAGAACAATTTTATGGTAAAAATTATTACAGGACTTGGTAGTTGCAGAATAGATTGATTCTGCGATAATTCACTCTTCCATTTCACATGTGCAACTTATATTTTAAGAATTGAAATGTACTGTTAAAACACAAATATCTACACAAATATCCACATATCGACTGATTGCTACAGATTATGTTACTAATTATATTATTGATAAAAAGTCAAGTTTCGATGATTCGATTTGATTCGATGCGGGAAGTCCTTGATTCCCGTATCTCCAATATCTGCAATGTATTTGACATATTCCCGTCATCGTCACGTAATTAACGACCATTCTGATCGGATTAATAGAGAGAGGGTACACGATTAGACTGTGCTAAACGGTAAAGAATGTAACGCACGCACGATTGAGAAAGAGTCATCGTGAGGTAACACACGACGTCGCCTGTGATTCCGACGAGTCATGCGCTGGCCGGCACGTTACAATGCCTCCCGTGAATGCAAATTCAGCTCGCGAGTCGCTTCCTCGATCACACCCACGAATGCAACGCGAACATACGCGCATTTACTGGGTCGGGAAACTTGCCCGTCGTCGGCGAAAAGTTTCGACGCGGTAACTCCTCGCTCGCGTGCACCCCAGAAATTGGATGTGCTCCACGTTGCAGATGCGGTTTCGCCGCGGGTCATTCCCTGGCGCGGGTGTAGATACGCCCCCGTTGCAGAACCAGAATTCATCGCGTGGCAACTGATTCACCATGACGCGCGGGGAACGTTGCATATTACGGAAACAATTCCGGTATCGTTTCGTACGATTCGTTTGAGGTAACGGACGTTGCCGGCCCGGTGAATTTCGACTCTCTCGCGGGTATTCGTATGTGTCCGAGTCGGAATTTGAGTCCAGTCTAAACTTCAATGTTCTATTCAACGTGCTTTGATACTCCGAACACTTCGTCAATCTTTTTTAACACTTTTTTACACTGAGAGAAAAATACTTGAACATTTTATTTGTGGGATGTAAAGTGTAAGATATAAAGTTTATTTTTGCGAATAAACTTTATATCTTACACAAATAAATTTTCAAGTATCTTCTTCTCAGTGCATTTAACCTATTGACTTTGCCAAGAGGTTTTCTTTATAACCTACAAATAGTATTTTGTGTATCTTCTGCCATTTAGACAGTAGAACTTCAATTTTCGTGTGTATTGAATGTGCACTGATCCTTTTATATATTCAGATTTTGGAAAATTCATTCGAAAATAGAGCTAAAATTTCGACTCGCGAGTACCTACGATGAATAAATAATATACGTTGTTCGTTGTGCAAAAAATCACAAAGAAAAATTCCAATGTTCCTCCTATTTTTATGTACAATTTCCTAGCGCTCGGCTTTTATACAAGTCTCTCTTTAATCGACTCTTTAATTTTCAATCAAACAAATCCCTTACATATTTTCATTTGATCACAAAGCACTGAAGAGTATTAGAGAACAAATGTAAAAATCAGCACGAAAACAAAGTTCAACAATGTCAAGATATAACAGACATTAACTCGATTACGCTAAAGTGGAGCAATTATGTCGTCAATTTGCCTCATACGAAACAGCGCAACTTTCTGACTACAGAGAAATACGTTGAAACATTTTTTCGTGCGCTTGCTGCTCGTACATATTGCGTAATAATGCTGTTTGTTTATATTTCACGACTTTTTCAACAATTATTGCGCTATCGCCATGTCGTTATTATCGGATGACGAGGTTTGTGACGCAAAGCATGATTCGATCGCGTGTCCGTCGATACGTTGCGATCTCGTGGCGAATTAACGAGGTCAGCGCGTTGGTTGAATAAGGTGAAAACTTCTGTCGACGTTGGGTAATGAAATCAGGAAACCCGTGCACCGCGAAATCCGGCAAATTAGTGCGAGTTACCGGGCCCGTTACACACAGGCGCCGTGGATGCAAAATCGAAAGCGCACTTCGGGACATCACGGATGAAAGGGGGGTAACGTGATCGAGTCCTAAGTCACTGCTTTGTCGGGGAGATTTGCGGCTGCACCTGCAGCCACCGCGCGCTGCATCTGCAGTTTGCTGATCGATCGATAACTGATACGGTGGGGATGCCGAGGCGGAGAGAAATATGGAGCAAAACGCGAGAATATAAATTTCCTTATACGCGGCGAAAAAGAGAAGATGTTGAGATTACCGTATTTCCTGACCTATCGGCAATACGTTTTGATTATTTTGTGTTAGTCAAAGTAATTACAAAAAGAAAAGAAGTATTTAGATCTCGGCTTGCAATTTTGTTTTTACGGGTTGTATAATAAATATTTGCGGATCTTTCAAGCATAATAAGGCATAAACAATTTTTTTATGTAAGGGAGAAGGTAGAAATATGAAATAAGGCTGATATTTTAAATAATTGCTGCGATTTGTCAGTAATTGAAATAAACATAACCTCAACCATAAACATAAACTTAAGTCCTCAATGGCCAAAATCGCAGAAAGTTAGTTATTTGGAAATACTTTTCCTATCTTGGGGTTCTCGTTGAATCATTTGAAAAATAGTGATGGGTGATGATATGAAACAAAGTATTTCATATGGAACAAAGTGTTCCATATTACCACGTCCTATATTTCCACGTCTTGTACAGTGGATGTGAAAATAATGTTTTTATTTGCGAGTTCGGTTTATAGGCCTAAAGGACTTTCACATAATTCAAGTTATCGAGCTTAATTTTTTTTAATTTAAATTTTAAATTTATTAAAACAAAAATAAGAAGATACATATATTACATACATCTCATTTTTTATCAATATATAAACAATTGAAGGAGTTGATAGGGAATGCAGAAAAAGCCGTCGTAGACATGCTTCATTCTGTAGCAGCGACATTCTGTTAATATAACTCTAATGTAGGTTAAACGTCAAGATCATTACAATAAATTATTAAGAAACATTATAAACGGGGTGATTACGACCTCTTGGAATATTAGTTTTCACGGCGAAGATCATACGTTATGACGGTGATTATTGACACCGAAATATGGGTTTTCGCGGCCGTTTTCCCTACGGTGAGCGGAGGAGATACATATACGAGAGTAAAAGTAAACATCAATTATTCTATTAGATATCAAAAATAATTACTTGCGACAACTTCAGCAGCTGCAACAGCAAGTTCATAATGCGAAAGTGCAAATTGCTGTTAGCGGCAACCGCGAAATAGGAACGCCGCGACGTTGTAAACGCGACAAAAGTAAATATCCCGAGTAATTGCTGGTCGTCACTCCGGAAAATCACATCCGACGACACATAATTGCACATTGTACATTAACGCAACGCAAGTACAACGGCGGGGATCCGGGTTGCCGCCCAAACGTGACACGCTCGATCAGATGAAAGCGAAGATTGTACTGATGATAAAGTATCAGGTGCGTCAACGCCGATTAAATCTCGCTCATGTACAAGATAAAACAAGCAGCTCGATCAAAGTGGACGTTATTAAGCAAAACCGGCTCTTCGTGGAAATCGGAGTTGATATCGATAATTAGCCGAATGACAAAGACGACATTCGTTTCTGAGATGTTGCGAACGCTGTGTAAAGCGGATTAATCAATATGTTTCTTGTACAATCTTTTCAAATTCTCTTGTTCCTCTGTGAACACACAGTTGATGTAATTGACGTTGTTTTTCCTTTTTACGTGTGCGATGTCCTCACAAGTCTCCAAAGGACGCAAATGACAATGGAATAAAATTTGTTTCCGATATGTTGTAATCGATATATCTCATCATAATATTTCATCTCAGTGAGATATCATTTTGATTTCGCTCTCTATTTCGCGTTAATAACTCGTTTGGCATACTAAAATCAGTGTCACGTCATGCGAGCGTTATATTAGTTTAGGAAAAATCGCTCTTTCCGACTCTATCTGGAACGCAGACTAAAACCGACAAGCGCGGCGCGCATATCCGTTTCTCCGTTATCGACGCGGTACATAAACAAAATAAGCGAACTGCTCGTGCGCTTTTTGCACGAGTTTATACACAAACCGGCGGTACACTCAACAGAGCGGGATCTCTTCGGGAACGCGGCGATCACGCGTTATCTCGCCGATATCGCCGTGAAATATGCTGGCAATCGTGTATCGCGAATGCAATGTGGTGTGGCTCGCTTCGCGGGAATATATTTTCGCCAAGTGTACCGACAGAATCGCCGATTCTTATCGCGAGCCGTTGGAGAAGCCGCGATCACGTTTCCGCAAAACTCCCCGCGTTACGTGCGACTCGCCGATCCGCTCGGGGAACGAGATTTGACAGAGAAAATTGCGGACGCCGATCAGACGCGATTGCACCGCGCGGAAATATATAGGTTGGCAGCCGGCCGTAAACGGAGTGAAAGCTCTAATTAGCGGGCGGAGAGCTTTCACCCGCTTTTCAGATCGGCTTCTCTCAACGTAGACGACGCCCGGCAACGAGCGTTAAACGATCGGAAGGTGTCAAATCGCGGACGTTGCCACTGCTGTTTGGCGTTATTAAGCCCCGAACACGGATATGCGATCGTGCCCTTCTCTCAGGGTGTGATATAATAAAGCTCGACGATGTTTAATTAAAGCAGTTTACAATGAAGAGGGGAAGGAGATACGCGTGCTGTGTCACGAGCGACGATAAACTCGATTTCTATACAAAAAGAAAGAAAGAACATACTTGTTTTGAAAGTATCTTTAGTTTTGACGTTTAAATTTTACAATAAAGTTACGTACAGAGAAAATATTACAGTTCCTTTTCATGTAAATTCTTCGCAATTTTAAAATGATTTTAATAATGCGGAAATAGACTGCCAGTAGGGTCCATCTTGTTGACGAACATAGAATATTCTGCTACAAAAATGCTGCTAGATACAGCAAATTCTTTAATGTACCTTTCATTTCCTGAAATATATAAGTGGCATGTATGAGATAAAAATACAGTCAATTACAGAACGACAGAATGTCGATGTGCTCCTCTGTTACAAAGTTCTAATTTTTACTATAAAATTTTCTCTCCATGTAGCATTAAACGAAGATAAGCAACTTGCATTAATACATTTTGTATAATTGAACAAAGAAAAATATATTACAATCATTAAAGCATAACATATTTTAAACTGAGAATATGATGTTTTTAAGCGTCGGGAGAAGATATATCATTATCACCAAAATAATCACATTTATTGTGAGACTATTATATTTAAATAAAATTATAACATTACTTTTCAAGACTTGCAATTCAAGACTTTGCATATCGTTGCTTATGTATAAAACAATGATTATTAATTTGAATACATTAGTTTTAAGTGGCTACTAATTTTCATTTTTGCGTATGGTCGTGCAGCACCGAAAGTAATTTTTTTTTAAGGCTGCACATTACGCCGACATGATCAATTCGAATTGTCTCCTAAATCTCATTGGAAAGAAAAATATCTTAAGTTAAAAAAAAACTAAAAAAAATATCTGGATATCTGAATGTATATCGGAATAAGCAAGAAAAACGGTGTGGAAAAGAGATCGTTACGAACGCTCCACTCTATTTCGCGTTTGTTGCCCAGTTGCGTATATTCAATCGGAGAAATACACAGTGCGACAGTTATTGGATCCCCTTCTTACGATGGAATATAACTCCCACGTTCAATCTTGCGGAATGTGTCGCGAACAGCATGAGACTTATCGGGAGAAGCGGAAATCGCGGCGAACGGTGTAAAAAGACGAAATATCGAACGATTGCCGAACGTAATCGAATCATCTAGCTTGTCGAGAGGAAGGAGAAGTTTCACGATTCCGTCGCGAATTATACCCAGCCGGCTGCGAAAATCCCCGACGAATCGACCGATTAGTTGATTTGTGAGACGTAGTTTTGCAATTTTCCCGGAATATCGACCCCTTATTGCGCCGCACACACGAAGGACACATGTCGATGGCGTTTGCAGTCCAACGCGCGACAGGTCTGCGTATCCCTGCATTTGAACGATGTTGTTTGCATTTTGATATTTTGATTGTCACACTAATTATCATACCAGTCACAAAACAACATACGCAAACAACGCTGACATCTCGGTCCTATTTTTGATTTTACGATATTATCGGGACATTGACATCTCTTGTAATGCCAATAAAACCGGACATGATACGTGTGATATAATTGGTATATGTGTTGGCTCTTTAAGAAGAAAAAAGATACATGCAAATAATTTAGGTCTGCGAATTTAGCTGCCCGAAGTGCGAATTTTTACGAAACTGACATGGTATTCGTATATCGACGATTTGTCCACGTTTGCTTAAAAATAATTTCGTTTTGTCCACTCCTTCCCAGAAAAGTTACAACCAAATAAAAAAATGATATTAACATTTATTACTATTGTCGTGAATATCCCTAAAAATGTTTTTTTCAAATTACAGCTATGTAATAACAATTACATTGTTAGTACATGGATAAGTGTGAAGAAATCGTAGAGAAACGAATGTCAGTTTCGCAAAAATTCGCATTTTAAGGAGCTGACTTTATAGACCTGAATAATTTCTACCGACGCGCGTTTGCAGTCTTACGAAAAACTGACCCGACGCAGCATCAGATCCTCTGCAACATGATATCACCGACGATGTTAACCTAATGAACCTCGCAAGACACGCCGAAGATCCAAACGGGGAAAGAGCCGGGAGTGACGAGTGATGGAAGTGAGCAGGGAATTCGTTAACTGTGGGAAGGAGAAGAAAAGTGACGCGGAGAGGTAAAGGGGGTGAGTCCACGGCGACGGCAGCAGCAGGAGGGAACTCGGAAGGAGCTATGATAAATTAAACGAGCACTCGAGCATGTGTACGCGTAGTGTATGTGTGGCAATGAGATGAACGTAGGTGGATAGTGTAGGTGCACGCTGTGTTTTCGCACGAGGTTCCCATTCAAGATGCGACATATTTTCATGCCAGCCGTGCGCGAGCCGTAAAAATAACGTTTGCATTTATATCGCAAGACAAAGGTGAATTTTTCACTGTTGGAGAACGCCGGGTAAGCCTACGAAGTTGCACGAAAGTTGCTCGCGAAAAGCCATACAGTCGTGTGAAAGCTCTCGCGTTACGATAAAGAGAGAAAACCCCGTTGTTTCCGAGTGTAACGAGTTCGCGAGTACAGGTAACAAAAACGTAAACGAACAAGCGTAAGCTCTCTCTCGCCCTTTCTTTCTCTCTCTCTCTCTCTTTCTCTCGCTCTCTCTCTCGACTGGCCGATTCCTACGTGAGAGCGGTTAAATGAAGAAACGATTGAAAACCGTCGAGTAACGATTAGCGACAAGCGTTGGCGATCAAGGACTCTAATTTTCCAATTTCAGAAGAGTCAACAAAAAGAGAGAGATAGGAAGGGAAGGGGCGAAAAAGAGTCAGTTGCAACAACGAGCCCGGGCGCGAAGCGACGAGATGCAAACTTATTCGCTGCATTTCTCCGCCACTTTGGGCAATCGTTACCCTTTATCTTTCGCGTCGTCATGAAACTCGCTGGATCGTCGTCGTCGTCGCGGCAAAGTTTGCTCGTTGTGAATTTCCACCGGTACACCCGTCCACTGGAGGATCGTAATTCTTCGTCGAATTAGACTACCTCCTTTACCGCTCTCTCTTGCGTTGTTAATGTCACACCGTGAAGAAGTCTCAAGGGAATGCATTTTCTTGTTCGCCGTAGTCAATTGCGATCACGCCCGAGAGGCAATGTGCCTCGATGCGAGCAACGACTCGCCGTGCGGTACGAGTTCATGAAGGAAGTGCAATGTCCCTTTCGCTTGCTTGTCGTATCGACAAATTGTTCACTCATCGCGGCTTCATTATGTGTCGTTAGCGTGTCGTTCAAAGTCAAATATCATTAAACATAATCGGGCTCCACAATTGGGACACCGTTTTCAGTGTATTCATGAGGACCATATTTGCAACGGTAAGAAATCCATCTTCAAAGAAATGTGGAGCATAGATCGTCTCGGACCCTCCGCCAAGGTTGAGTACCAAGAACTGTTGCGATGGCGCATTAAATGTATTTAGGTAGCGAGGAAGTGGGGACTTAGTCGGTTTAATGTTAGTCAGTGTCACACTGCCACTGACAACCGTCGATAGTTGAGTGGAGCGTTTCTGGGCGTAGTTGAAAACGTGTGTGCCGAGCGTTGCAGCAGTCGCATCTCGAATGTGTCGACTAATATTTTCTTTTTCGCTGTAACTGAGGACAGCGTGCGTCCACTCGACAGGACTGAGAAAAGTGCGACAGATTGTGATTCGAAGATGGCTGAGGAAGCTACCGCCACACCCAGCCTCTTTTCGAGATTACAGAAGCATCTAAAGGAGGCACCGTTTTTCTGCAAAATCATCGAACTGGTAAGATTGCTCGTTATTATGTGATCTTAATTATCGGTGCTTCGAACTCAAGCGGCAAAAATACACTCCTCCACGTCGAGTGGACGTTAAAGAGATGGTTTAAAACATCTTTGATCACGCGCGATACGGCAGATGAGTTGCGACAGCGCCTATCGTGTATTTGCAGATTGAGTCAAACTGAACAAAAGTCCTCTATCGTTTTACAAATAATCACGTGTATTTCCAGTTATTAATTGGAGAACATGCAATATCGCGCGCGATTATCTGCCAATCTTCTTTGATTAATGACTCGAAGATTTACGTGATTGTTTGCAAAATGGTAGAGGACTTTTTTGTTCAGTTTTAACTAGTCTCCATGTATATAAGATATGGGACACTTATCGTCAGACACCTTGTATGCCTCGTCGCGTATATACCGTGTTTGATTTCATTAGCGTGAGTGACTCTTGCATTCTTGTATTGGCATGACACGATGCTTATATTGTCATTGTGTAAAGTATAATGTCGCGTTTCCTCTAACGATGTACGATGTGTCGAATTGCAAAGCTGACAGGATGAGAGATAGCAATTGAACGTTGCAGGTACTGTGCGTCGTTGCGACGGGATTAGTGGCAGGTCCGTTCCAACAGAATCAGATGCGGCCGAGTGACATACACCACATAGCGATATTTCACGTGGCAGTGTGCGGTTACATTCTCATAAACGCGATTCTCATTATGAGCCATTTAATGGGCGAACGATTGCCGAAGAAGACGGTGAGTTATGAAGCAGTTATAAAGTGAAATAACCATGGCTGTCATTCGAGGATGAGGATGATGCACTAATGAGGAATAATGAAAAGAGGAACACATCGTCGTTACTAGAAGTGTGAAATCCACAATCTCTCTCGATATGAAACGCTAGTTTGCAAATAAGGAGCAAGTATAAAAATAGGGCACGCGAAGTCATAATTCAACACTAAAGATTACCCTTTAATGCTATTCGACATAGCAGAACGTCGAAATCCATCAAGCAAACTCCGGCCGTCGTTGCCTCAATTTCCGTCTCTTGAGAACCGTCCGCTCCCTATATGCTTGAATTATTCAAACTTGATTTGGTTCAGGATACGTCACGGCCGTCTAAAAACGCAGTCGTCGCGAACTCCAAGTAAAGAATAAAGAAATCAAACGTAGGAAGAGAAAAATGCTTTCCAATGTTTGCAAACTGCACTAATAATAAGAACAGTCTATTAATCGCTACTATTAACTGATTCTTTTCAGAGATATTTTACCGATTGCAGTGCTATACTTGTGACTGAAATATCAGTTACAACTATAGGATTTCCGTGAAAAATATACTGATTGTACTTCAGAGAGTTTGATTCATTGTAAACGAACTAATGGGCTCTTTTTCGAGCGCACGAACAGCTCGTATAGCGAAGCTGCATGAAATCGATGAGTAAAATGCAATAGACTTATTTTCCGTTTTCACAGTCTCTCATGTTCACGACGATGGGGGCGATCTTATGCTGCACCGCTGGCCTCATTCTGATTCGCGACTGGGATAATTTCTCGTCTAATTTGATTCATGCGTATCTGGAGGCATACAGCGACCAGACTGTGGCAGCCGGTTCCTTCGCGATCTTGGCAGCCTTGGTATTCGCCGTGGACACGTACTTCACCAACAAGTACGACTGATCAGCCTGAAAATCCCGATCGTCACGGATATTCGCGGGAGCGACACGAAATATTAATAGACCGCTTCGTACGTCCAGTTGTCCGTTTCGACAAATAAAAATATAAGAATATCGATACGCTAAATATATTATATTCCGAGAGTTTTTCTCTGCTGAGTCGTAGTGTTAATAAAGGACTTTTTTCAGCCTTTCCATTTTTACTGTCGCCGGTAATCTTTGTAACGTGTTATCGCGGGTCAGCCTCTTGAAACTGCACTCCCCGGGAAGATCATAGAAGAAGCTCGTCTCTCTAAACATTTTAAAACGCGGAGAAGCGAAGCGGAACCGCAAATCGACGAAGTTTTCCTCCTGAGCGAGCTTTTTCCGCGGATGAAGTCACTTTTCGCAGGCTAGCTCTGTAGAGCTGAATCTCCGAGAAAAATCTACATGAACGCGCCGCCTGCGAACGGCAGCGAGTCGCAGTAAAAGGCTTTTATTCGTCTTACTTCCACAAGAAAGTCATGATTCGGCGGGTTCCTGTCTATTTGTCGGAACTCGAAAAACGATTCCGGGAAGAATGCAGTTTTTCGAGCACCATTGCTCTTCTTCTCTTCTTCTCGTATGTTCTTTGCGTGCGCGCGCGCGCGCATACAAAGACGTATAACAAATTCGACAAATTCCACTCGGTGTTCGCAAAAGTGCGAGAAAAAGTTTACCCCGTCGACTGTCCCCGCTAGGAAGCTCGACAAAAAGGAACTCCATGATATGAGATTGAGAGGAAAGTTCGCGGACGCGTGCGTTGATAGCTTCTTTTTCATCGCGATCTATATCGACAAACCGGAGATCATTTCTTATTAACTGACGGATTCATCATCCTCTTTAGACGCGTCGAGTTTTCCACCGTTCATTAAGCCCGAACGTTTATTTCCCGAATACGACAATCGTTTTTCACTTAGAATGTTGTTTTTACTGGAACTTACTCGGTCTAATGGAGAATTGCTTGATCAACAATAGTTTCCGCACAAAGGTGGGAGGGGACAGCGCAATATTGCAAGAAGTTCCATATTCGTGGACACGTACACTGAGCGTTTCCTTGAGCGTAAGAGTTTCTTGAAAAAAGACACCACAATAAATTCGCCGCGGTTTCATTTTGCCCGCCGGAGGAAGCCAAAAGAATGCCTCACGTTTTTCCGTTTCCTGACGCGCACGCCGCTTTTCGCGGCTATAATTTTAGGAGTAACGACCTCGAGCCAACGCAAATTATTGTGCAGGAAATAACCGAAGGAAGCATTAATTCCTCTGAAATGGAAGCGGACCAGCAAACGAGAAGATAAAAAAGCAAATAACGAGAACCACTGTTTCATTCAAGAAATAACATCATTGTCCGATGTTGAACGCATTCGAGATTAAAATCCGCCTTTATCGCCGGGAGCACATAGTGAAGCGAAACTAGATATGGTCGGACGCGCGGGGAAACGTAAATACAATCGTGTCTTCAGTAATTGGGTCGAGTTTCAAAGGAATGATGGGGACGGGTCAATTTTACTCGAAATAAAACTTTTAAAAAGAGCAGCTCGGTAAACCCACCGTGCACTCGTTTTATTCGGCAATTAAATTAGATTACAGATTGCGTGTGGTGTGGATAGGACAAATTAAAGAAAATTAAGGTAAGTAGATTCCACTTATGTCGCACAGCTGGAGGGAGCCTGCTCTTAATCGCGTTTTAAATAAAAAGTGCACGCACAACATGCACCTTACGGTTGTTCTTCTTATCTGATGTGTTTCCCTTCCTTTTCAACTTCCTTCATCGATAAATGATCGACTTCACGCGTCGTTAATTAACTTTAAATAATACGCGTCGTGCTGTAGTTAAGTATTTAACATTGCATTAATCTAATATTGTTTACCACGATTCACAACCTTTCCTTAGTATACGGTTCTTATAACCTCTGGCCATCCTAATCTCCATCATTCTCTGGGCTCTATCAAGAAGATAGCACCCAACGTCCTTTCCTATTTATATAAGCCTTTCCCCAAACTGGACAGATATATAAGAGTACGGAGTGTACCACATTCCAATACAACTTCCTTTTCAGCTTCCTTGGATCTCCTCTATTCTTCGTTAAAGCTCAAAGGGCCCTCATCACCTTGTTGGCCTTTCCATATACTCCGCATGTGATCCGATTGTTAGGCCCGTATCGTATATTCGAGAAGTTTGTAAAAACTCTGATTTCTTTTTTTTGCTTTTTACAATTTTTCTCGTATTTATGCTCTTTAAGTCCCGCATACATAATTATGTGGACTTTCACTGTGGGTCTTTCCCAGATTTTTTATATTGGCAAAGTAATGATTCCATCGATATTCTTCATCTTAACCCGTGAAACAGTGATTTTCCCACTGAAGAAACCAATATGGCGATGGTGTGTGGAGCAGAAGCGTTGATGCTCAAAACTGCATAAAGCTTTTTACGAAAAAAAGTAAATCAATTTTATAGTCCGAATTTTTTATCGATGTCATCTTAAGGTATAAGATTGGCGTTTTTGTATTCATTATTAATGTTATAAGATTTATTAAATTTTGTAGCTGGGGCACACGCGTACACAAACATGAAGATACATAATCAGAAGATCATAAAGTGTGAATGTAGCAATTAGTGACTTAGTAACCTACCTTATCAGAAAAATAGAGAAATATATAAATTCAATAAAAAATAATAAGTAATCATATTATTCAAATATTACAAAATAGAAAATCATGAATTGTATTATTATATGACAATTATATAACTTTTATTATATGACTTATTATATGACTTATTATATAACTTATTATATGACAATTTATAACAATAAATGGCTTATATTTATAATATAAGTAATACATGTTTAGGATAGCTATAGACTCGTATTAACTGATTTATTAAAAAAAACGGACGCAACTCATTGTCATTAATTGAGACACTGCCACTAGTTGGACACATTCACCTTATTTCTCGACAGTTAATCTTATTTGGAGACTGCAGAACTCTTCAGGAACATCTCTTGAGACTATTTCATGAAAAAAATAATTTCACTCGAACGAGATGCCTGTGCCTTAAAGGATTTAATTGTACAACAAAGTACTGAGAATAAAATATGAAGATAATGCGACGTTATTATAATCCAGCTGCGTGTCATTTTAACGCGATTACCTGCCTAATTATCGACAAGGTCAATAAAACGTTTTATTAGATTCGACGAACATTCGGCCCAAAGGCATTTGCAAATTCGCCTCGAACTGGAGAGCTTCCCTCGACGACCACGCTGCGTCGCAGTTTTGCACTCATACGAGCGACGTAATTAGGTAAGCGCCTTAGATGCACTCGCGCTGTTAAGCTCGCGCCAGTAATTACGCGCGAGTAACATGAAACGCAGCCAACGGCGAGCGCCGATTAAAGCACAATTAAAATGGCACACGGACGGCGTTTTCGGGCCGACGAGAGTGTGCTTTATATATCGGGAGGAGAGCATGCCCCGCTTCGTTGAGGAGGGCGACTACAAAAACAACGACGAGCCGAGGCGGAGGAGACCGAGGTGATTAACTCCGATTTTGCTCGAGGCGAAATAACGGCGATTAACGTCCGATTGGATTTACTCGCGCAGCCGGAAGAGTAATTTCGAAAGGGTTTCGTGAATCGTGAGCACGCCACTGGCGCATACTCCAGTAAAACATGCCCATTCTACCGTGTAGATCAATGAAACAGCGATTCCGCGGAGAGGTTTAAACCGTATCGGTCGCTTTTCCAATTTCTCCCATGGTCGTCGCGTGCAAGAATCCGCAAATACGAGGTCTGTCTCAAAAGTATCCGACCTTTGCCTGTATCATGAGAAAGATCTATTCCGGAGTGATATGAACAACGTCGCCTTCAAAATAGTTTCCTTCCGAAGCAATGACCTTTTGCCAACGGTGCATCCACTTGCGAAAGCAGTCCTGAAAGTCGTTTTTTGTGATAGCCAACAGCTCTTTCGTCGCATTTCGCTTTATTTCTTCAGCATCGTCAAATTTTTTGCCCTTCAACGGATGTTTCAACTTAGGAAATAACCAGAAGTCACACGGGGCTATATCTAGACTATACGGAGATTGACGAAGTTGGACAATGCCGTGTTTAGTCAAAAATTCCTGAATCGGGTGAGATGAATGAGCAGGTGCGTTATCGTGGTGCAGCAGCCAGTTCCCACTTTTCCACAAATGCGGACGTTTTCTCCTCACTGCGTCACGCAATTGTTTAAGAACTTCCAAGTAATATTCCTTGTTTATTGTGCGACTTTGTGGAACATATTCGTGGTATGCAACACTTTCTTGGTCGAAGAAAACAGTGAGCATTGCCTTCACGTTGCTCCGACTTTGACGCGCTTTCTTGGGTCGAGGCTCTTCTTTTTTTTATGTGTCACTCATAGAGTCATATGGTCTGTTCTTTCGCTCTGCACTGCTGCACTGGTGCAATAAGTTAGAGTGAAACAAATATATATTTGTCTCACTCTAACTTATTGCACCAGTGCAGCAGTGCAGAGCAAAAGAACAGACCTATAAACTTTACGGATCATGCCGATTGTTTCAGAACATGTATGGCCAAGTTTTTGGCAAAATTTAATACAAATTCTCTGCTCGATTCGTTCAATCATTGTGAAATGCGACGTTCGGAGGACGTTTTCGACGCTCACACAACTGCATACCGTTGCCGATTGAACAGCTGCTGTTCATGCCGCTTGGTGGGAGTACTTCTAAAGGTCCACCCTAAATACTGAATACCTATTTTCCACAATAGGACATTAAAGGACAAAGATATACGCAAAGATACTTTTGGTACAGACCTCGTATACACTCAAAAAAAAAGAATGTCTTGCCGCTCCAGGTGGAAATGTTATAGTCAAAATTTATTGCTGAATTTATCTACTAATTATCTATTTAGGTCGCTGGGAGGATTCTATATTCGTCTGTCTCTTGTCTGTCGGTGGTCTTTCTTTGTCTACCACAGTCAATTTTTATAAGAAGCGTGACTAGCCTTAATGAACGTCACAGAAAGAAAGAAAGAGAGAGAGAGAGAGAGAGAGAGAGAGAGAGAGAGAGACTTTCTTACTAAATTTCACAAATGGTACAGATAGAAATATCTTTGTCATTTATATTTATACTAAATTCAAAATGTATGCGATATCGCAGTCTCTGTTAATTATTTATCATTTCAGTATCTAATTTCTCATATCTAGACTTTTCTCTATGACTACGAGATTATTCTTTTTATATTATGTATATTGTGCTAATAACAGATCAAAATTCGATACTTCAGCACAGATAGCGACAAGTATACAGAGACAGGCTCCGCGAGTTTCTCTCGCAGTCACCGTCGAAGTTAATTATCGTGAGACTACAAATTAACCAAGTGTCTCGCTATCGTTTCTCTCCTACGCTTGATTTCACGACTGGCGCGAAAAAGACCATCGCGAATTTCCACATGGAAACACGCGCTCTCGTCAACTCGTATACGATCGATAACGAATAATAGCACGGACGAGCGCGATTAAAGCGTCGCGATGCATTCGTTGCCAGCGCTCGTGTTGCGAGTAACAATATTTGTGATTTTGTTATGCCGTATCCATACAAATTACTCGATGCGCGCCGCTATTGCGAATGCATACGTGTACCGTGCGGGTGTAGCTGTTCAAATAACTTCTACTGCTGTTGACCGTATACTCGACTACTTCCAATACAACTGTTCGTTCGACGAGACCGTTGAGTCGCTTTGCTCCCTCATCGCGCGTACGTAAATTTCGCGAACTAGAACGAACAACGACTCATCGAACGTTATGAAGTAAATTCGCGGGAATACCTTTTGAGAGAAAGGGAGAGCACGGTTTTACACGACAATAAAACGTGCCTGCGTTCTCAGAGGGGAAGGGTAGAGACTGCGGCATTTCGCAATCTCACGTAACGATCATGGTCTGAACTCATGTGTCATCGTGCACGGTGTTGGTTAATCCGAGTCAAGGTTTTTAGCTAAATCGCGGCAAAGAAATCACCACGATCGTGAGATCGCAACGTCGCTTGTGTCAAGGTACAAGTTCAACTCTGGGAGACTTTGCGTGCACCCAGTTATTCCAAATCTTGCCTGCGTTCAACAGGAAAAGTTGCTCTACAACCGTTGTAAAATCATTCAAGTATGTCCGCCAACATATCTTCGACTTGCACTAATTCCTCTGGTATGTTACACAGCTCACTCAAAAATAACAGTTAAATCTCTTTTTGATCCTCAGTTATGCCTAGTTTATTTAAATTAAATTACGCATTTTCTATAGTTATATATATGTATAAATATATATATATAAAATAAAATATATAATAAAATTCGTGAGTTTCCTTTTAATTGACGTATAAACTCTGAATCTTGGTTGAATTTAAGAGAATCTAAAGAATCTAAAAGAATTTAAAAGAATCTAAGAGCATACCAATCAGATTCAGGAGTTTTGCAACAGTTGCAAAGCAGCTTTCTTTGCTGAACGCAGCCATCATACACATGCCTCGTGTTAAACCAAGCGAACTTGCGGAGCACTAGAATTGAATTTGTTCGATGTCTCTGCAGCGCGAATCAATCGCGACGGTATCTTACGCTTGTTTCCAAGCGATTGTCCTTACCAAGCTGCGTCCCGAGCTCATGTAACGACAGACGAATGTACACACCGACGGGAATCACCAGTCATCACAAACTCGACCCTTGAGGCAGGTCTCGAGCGATCAATATTTATTAGCCATGCTGCGACATCGATGACACCAATGGACAACACCGACGATAGTTAACCGAAGAACTGTCAATGTGATCGGGAAGATATCGACGAGGTGCTTCGGGAAGAGCGAAATACTTATCACGTTACCGATTAGCATCGGCGACGTGGCGGTCGAATATCTATCGTTGCATCGATACGTGGGATTCCGATGGCGTGGATCGATTGGTCGATCTGCAGCACCAAGGCTTCGCGAGTCGCACGTAAACTCTAACAAGTTGCGCGAGATCGGCAACCAGCTTGATTTGACAGATTGTGTACACGACGGTAGGGATCTCGTCGATATTCAAATTGACAACAAATATTGATCGTTCGGGGGACGAGGGAGGGGAGGTCCTTTTCGAGTCTCGACGCGGCACTCCGCACCAATGACGACGACGACGACGACGACGATGACGACGGCGGTCTTCTTGTCGGACGACCGGCACTTCGTTCGTTTTGACGCGCGCGTACAATATCCCTCTCTTTCTCTCTCGTTTCTCTGATCACCTTGACACACGTGAGGATGCGTCACTGTCGTCTTTCACCGCGAGCCTCTAACACGAGACGAGATCTCAAGACGAAGGGTGGCGAGATGCGACATCGACCGATTCGTCCAGGCGCCCATACCGGCGGCCGCTCGAACGTGGACTGACGTTCGCCCTCATGCGCGGTCGCGGCGCGCGACCCTTCCACGCCACCCTCTCGCGCGTCCGCGCCCCACGCCGCGTCGTCAGCCTACTTCCAGCACCCTTCTCTCTTCTTCACTCTCTCTCTCTTCCTCTTTCTGTCTCTCTTCCTCTCCCAGATAGCCCCGCATGTCACCCGCGCGACGCGACTTCTCTCCTTCGAGGCTTTCTCGTCCTTTCTAATCCGCCCTTTTTCTCCAGAAGCCCCTACCCGGCCCGCCCGCTCCGACAATTTGCAGAAAACCGCACCGTGATACACTTTAAGCCCTATAAAATATTCAAGAGCGCGACGACCGAGGAGACGCCCGTGTTTTGCGTGAAAGTATTTATTTGTAAATTCTTGATGCTTTGCATTAGAATAGATCTTGGTATGTGACAGAATCTTTATGCACGATAATTATTTCCTCTAAGCTTAAGGGGGAGTTCTTGCTTTAGACAAACGAAAAAATTAAAGGTACTTGCGAATTGTTTTTGATGAACTGGGCGAAGATATCAATATAGGGTCTTGATCATAATGATATAATTCATTTGTTACAGTTTTAAAATAATTATTTTTTTATTAAAAAATTGAAATTTCATTGGCCGTTTTTGTGCTGAGACAGATGCCTCTGATGGACGGATAACATTACAGCTCGTGTAACAAATGGGACGAAACAATTTAAAAAATGTATTGAATTTGTTGGAGGATCAATTTGAATCCTTTGGAACATTTCCAAAATTAGTGTTTTACTCAGGATACTGAATAAAAAAGAAATGAAAGGAAAATGGCTTGCAACTTTGAAGTGCAACCGTTTTGTTAAATTACAACTTTCTGCATAAAACAAAGCTCCATCCTCCAGCAAATTTAATGCAGTTTCTAAGTTTTCTTGTGCTACTTGTTTCAAATTACTACACGAGCTGTAATGTTGGCCCGCCAGTTAGAGACATCCGGTGACATTGCGCCCAGCACGAAAAACCTAGGTAGAATTTAAATTCTTTTTCAGTAATCCGTTTATATTTAAAACAATGATAAATAATATATGGCCAAAATCCTACATCGATATCTTTATTTATTTATTTAATTTATTTTTTTGAAAAAATTCGCAAAAATGTCCTATTTTTTCAGCTATATAAATCTCTCCTTTAAAGAAAATAAGACTAAAGTTTTCATTACGAACGTTTGTTATTGCGCGCGTCGAGATCTGTTCTTCGGGACGAAGGAAAGGCCACACGTGCGGCAATCGAGGATAAATCTCGATGTGTTCCATATGTGGAATTAAAGAACGCTCGCCGATCGGTCGAGGCTAGAAAGCGCGGTAATTTATCGATCCACGCGTCACGAAACTTGCACATAGAAGAAAAAGGATGGGAAAAGCTCGTCGTATATCCCCGATAACAATTTTTCGAAGCTCTCGCGACGCAAGTATTCGCTCACACTGCAGGAAACACGCGCGTGATGGTTTAATAATAAAACAATAATTAGAAAAAAAGCAAACCGCATTATTCCGATGTCTGCTGTGTGTGTGCATCCGAATATGTACCGAGTTCCAGCGGCCTTAGCCTTCTCTAATGTGGAGCACTTTTTATCGAAATCGAATCTCTCCGCGTTAGACCACGACGACGAGACGCCGCGAAAACCAAGCCATGTCTCGCGATCGACGTTATTTTACGAGATTTAAAGCCCGACATTCCCTTTATCTCTTTTGTTGCGGAATATTGTTCGCCTTGAATTAGCAGCAATAATGTGATTCGTGCATAAAAGAACGATTTTTATGAGGAACCTCGAAATATAAATACGAAACTCGAAACGATAACCTCGCTTGTGTATTCAAGTGCATCACGAAATGCATAAAATTGACGCATCTTATCGCATCTGCATACGTTGAGTCATAAAACGTACTTCTATTTGCATCTATAAGGATAATATAACACTGTGTGGGAAAGTGATACACAACACATCGTACAGTAATAATCGCAACTATACTGCGCACTGCATAGCATACTCAAAGGGGTGATTTAATTGCCCACGCGAAGCAAAAGTGTTTTCCACACTTGCTGTTTGTTGTTGCAAACGGAACAAAGCGTTCCCTCAACGAGAAGACCAAAATTTAAACTGAAAACTCCAATGTTAGATACATAGAGAAGAAAGAATCGCGACAGACTACGACTCACCGCGGAATTTTTCTAGGAAAAATCGATCATAACTTTTTCGATAAATCCGATAAACGCGAGAGGGTCGCATGCTCCGCGAGAACTCCTGCGAGAAACGCTCGTGTGTGGCGCCTTGAGATATTACTTATTTCGTGTTTTTTTTTTGTCGATGTGAGACGCACATCGTGGGAAAAGGACACGGGTGCGCGCCTGTAGGTGTCTCGGGAAGGAGGGCACGGTGCAGCTGCAATTGCAGTGTGCCATAAGAGCGCACAGGACGACTCCTGGCCTCTGCGGGTCGCTCCGGGCGAACGACATTTCCGTGGCTCCAGTGACACGGGAGTAATGAATGCGGGGGTTCCTGCGAAACGCGCGCAAGGAAGCGACGCGACCTGGGATTTGCATGTGGCACCGCCCGATCGGGATCGGTTACACGGCCGAGTTGGGAGCTTGCCAAAAGTATCCTCTCTCTCCCACTCTCTCTTTTGGCGCGGAAAGCCTCAGCGAGCGGGGATTTTCGATAGAAAACGAAATAAGCGTTTTGCGGCGGGTCATTTTTCATTTCGATATCTGTGAAATCGACGTGCCCCTAATGCGCATCGCGTCGCGACGGCGTGAAGAAAAATGCGACTAAAGTATTCCGCGATATTGTTAACGTTGGCTCACGTCGAGAGAACAATGTAGTGTGTGCTGGGAGTAATTACTAACTCCTCAGTTTCGGAAAAAACGTTCTCTTACAGATTTGATAGTGTTGTTCATTAAATCACGTTTAAATCGAATCCAAATTGTGCAAATTGTTGAAAAATTAAGCAGTTACAAGATCTTGACGAGAGTAACAATTTGAAAAAATTTGGAGAGTTGTAAACAGTTGTGAATTCATAGGAATATGAATCTTTTACTACATCTGTTAAGTACATTTAATAATATGTTGATGTGAAAAAATTGCAAAAGAATTAATTATAAAAACACATTTAAACACGTTGTTTACGAAATAGTATTTTTTCCAATTACAACCACGATAACTTGAGCGCGGTTTATTCGATTAGCTTTTAATATTTAACGCGAATGTATATCATAATTGTCTGTATCGGTTCGCGGAAGCTTTCCACAAATTTCAAAACCATTTTCCATTTATTTATTTTACAACCTCCAATTTGTCAACGAAAAAATGTTTTTCTGTGAAAAGTTGTTTTTTTGCAACTTCCATTTTGCAAAATATTGCTTTTCCAAAAATCCGCCTCCGGGATTAGATGAATCGATAACTACAGCTCTGATTAAATAAAAAAAAATGCATTAATCTTTAGTCTCAGATCACTTCTGTTGAAGCCAGAATAATCAGCAGGATTCTTTTGCAGAAAAGAATCGAAATGATGTCAATGTTCGTCGTAAAATCTGACTTTTTTTAAACCAAGATATTGCTAAACGCATTTAACCGACATACACGTAACAAAAAATTCATACTCCTAACAGTTTACGACCTCCTACAACTCCGCAAACTTTACCCAATTTCGCTTCTTTCGAGGTCCTGTAGCTCTTTAATTGGAGCAAAGCGTGCCAAAGACCCGACAGATGAAACACCGGCAAAGGTAGATGGAATCCGCGTGGCACGGGCGAGTGAGTGTCCTTCCGCTAATCGTCTCGTTCGCATTTGACAACCGCATTAGTGGCAGCGGCCGCTTAATTAAAGACGCACACTCGACGTACTCGTGACCGTTGATAGACGAAAGCCCGAAGACCGAATTCACGAGCGGAACAGCCGAGAAATCGAGACGTCCAGTTATCGTCGCAGACACACACACACACACATACCTGTCCAGCGCCGCTATTGTCGGCGCACGCGCACAAAGCGGCACAAAACGCGAACACGTTTCACGAAGAGACGAACAGGTAAGAAGCGAACGTCTCGGCTGCCCGAAGAGGAAACCGCTATTCTGCCGTTAAACGTACACGCCAAGATATAAGTGCATCGCACACGCCGGCACATTAGCCGGTGTTAACTCGCCTCGACATTAAGCCGATATGCACCTAATTCTTTTGCATATGTAGCGATATAACGATTCGAGTGCCACTCGAACGATCATACTTGATCGCCGGCGGTAGCTTAACGTTGGAATGCGAAAGCAACGTGTACACATTGGAAAAAAAATGTTTGATATTTGTACATATAACGGAGAGATAATTACTATAATTTAATAATAAGTTAATATTATTATCGATACTCTATATCAAAAATAAATAATTTCTACAAATTATAGTTAAGAAAACCATGTTTCTCTTTCATCTATTGAATTCTGCTACAATGTTAATGATAACCTGAATATATATTATTACAACAACCAAAGAATATGATTAGAGTCACAAGTAATTATAATTTTAGTTAGTTCAATCCTTTTTTCTCTCAATATAGTGGCTTGTAAAACGGTTCAGACATCGTGAAATTGGGAGTTTACCAAACTATCAAAATCGAGAGCCATCATTGACGGGCTTATCCAGTAATTATATTATTAATAATAATTATTATTATCTATTATTATCAATGTTATTATTATTATTATTATTTATTATCATTTAGTGTCTTTAATTATAGTATTAATTATATTAGTGTTACGGATAAAGGCCCGTAATGACTATCAATTTTGACAGTTTGGTGAGCTTCCAACGTTCAGTGTCTAAACCGTTTTGCAATTCACTGTACGCGAGTGACGGCAGGGTGGCAGGAGGACACGGGAGAGGTGGGAGAGGTCGTTAAGATCCGTGTCTATCCAGATGTTAATGAGTCAGGAATACGGCACGCACCGCGAGTGGCTAATTGTCTACGCGAGATTCTATCTCGGTTACCAATAAGAGAGCTCGGCTCTCTACTGTCGTGGAGAGTAATGCTTGTGCGATTGAGAACACTGCGGTGTGTACGGCTCATATAGGATAAATATTTGATAAGCCGGTAGCGCGAATGTCAACACGTCATTTGCGGTAGCGCGAGCGATCAAAATATCTACTGCTGTTTATCGGCACTTCAGAGGGTATACACCGTCTTATTGCAAATTCACGTCGAGCCCGAGACAATTTCTGCAACGTAACGTCCGCAATGTTAATTCGAAGCGGATGATTTCAGAGCGGGACTGAAAACTGCTCAAGGAAATAGAATTAAAATCGTGGAACAGCGGACCGTGCCGCATTGGCGAGTGAAAAATATCGTAACGGTATGAAAACTCGAAACTCTTGTGCGTTTGACGTGAAGCGATAATATATCGCACGGCAAGTATATCGATGTGAAATTGCGTCGCAATTTGCAACACTCGCGCAGGTGTTCCTAATAAACTACCTCGTCTAAATGCAAACGATATTTGTTTAACGGCAAGCAACACAAATTCGTATTTATGTCATTCGGAAAGGAAAGCAAAAATATTCTCGATCGAGCACGAAGAAAAATACACGAACATACCGTTCTTCGTGTAGGTCTCCATGATGGATCTTTTTAATAGAAAATTTGCTCGGAAATTCGCACGCTCGCGGTCTGTGTAACGTTAAAAATTAAAGGTTACGATAAATATCATTCGATCGCACTTTTCGATTAAACATGTTCTCCATCGAATTTTCGACAGAGTTTGTGAATCCATCAGTGTCTATACTTGATCGGGTAACTACAATTATCGGGATTACATAAATAACTCATGAAATAAAGTAGTTAGAGAGAACTGATTAAATTAAAAAGTAGAGAGTAGCAAAAGTCAGTTAAATAAATTTAGTCAATTTAACAATCCTCGCCGGAAACCGCTGTCTCTATATTTTCCAGTTTCGCACAGAGAAACAACAGAAGAATCCATTCAAGCGCCCTGCGAAAAGTCCCCCTAAACCAACTCTGCGAACGTCGAGTGGCTCTCGCAAAAAGCGCGATGCTTGCAGTCGACATTGGCCGGAAAAAACCGACGCAACGTTGATTGTGCGAATTTAATCCGGGGTTAATAGCACAAGAGAGGAAGGGAGAGAAAGAGATAAGAGAAAAAAGGAGGACATATTCCTGAAGCAAAATTTGACATTAATTTAAAATTCGATATGGAGGAAACGTTTCCTCGCATGCACTCTCGCACGCGATAACGCCGCGCAACGTAGCGTGCGAGCGAACGAGCGTCTGAGTGTCGTAATCGCCGAATTCGCGAAATGAGAAATCAAATAATGCATAAGCGCTTAACGTATCGCGCGTCCCATGCAGAGAAAGACGTCTCAATGCGCGGGTTCGACTAATTTCGGAAAATGACACCGAAAGGTTGCTCACCCCAGTTTCACCGAAACGCAGCAACCGGCGACACGACACGGGGTCGGCGGGTTCGTTACAGTGCTTAAGTGCTAAAACCACTTATGTGGCACGTGCATGACACCTCACGTTTTCCTGATATATTGTCGCACGCGAAAATACCATCGGGAAGCCCTTTGAGGACGCGCAAGGCGGCGGGCCGTACGCAGATCTGTCGTCTGGATCGCTACGGTACGAAGCCCTACACATTTGTGCATAAACACAGACAAGATATCTAATACAACATTCGTATTCGCAAGCGTGGCACGTACCGAGCGTGTCACGTAAGCGTCGCGTGTGTGCGCGACTGATATAACACTTCAATTAAAGCGCAGTTCCTTTCGTCGACTGTGCGCCACGCGTCACGTTCCTCTCGTAATTACTTTTATCTGCGCGAACGAATGTCGCGGTTCAATTTTACTCTCCATTGCGTTTAAGTTTAATTGATATGCGACACGACGCACAGACATCCAATTGCGAAGAGTAGTCGCTGGTATTCGCAATAATAATAAAAAATATAGGAAACAGAGACAGAAAAAGAGTGCGTGATGCTATAATTTAATATGTCGCGGATTAAATATATCGAATTTTTTTGCACATCAGTGTTTGTGTAGCACTCATTGCGATGCAATTTTCGATAATTGAGTCATCTGTCAGAATATTGCGACTGCGTTTGCACGAGCTGATGAATGATTTCGGCCGCGTGTACTTTTGGATGACGAGAATCACGGTAAAAATCGACCACAGTCCTGCGCCATTTAATTACGGTTATACTTTCTCGTCGTTATTTCCGGTCGTTACAAGTTCAAACACGTAGGTATCGAGAGTTGGAGTCGAAATTCCTCGGTCAAACTTTCGCATAATTTCCTCTTAAGAGAGTCCGGGAGATGTTCCGGGAGATGGTTCGCGAGGGAATAACAAGAATCCTGTCCTTCTCGTGTGTTAAGTTAACCAACTCGGCAAACTGCAGGTTAAGATGCCGCACGCGAGGCTCTATGCGACGGGAGTATATAATTTTGGGCTTATTACCGAAATAATTAAAGTACTAGCCACGCGCGCACATTTAACTTTACAATCCACGCTTGATTCTGTGTTCGTCTCTCTGCGCAGCGTCTTTCTGCGAAGTTATATAATCCTAAGTGTAGGAGTTTTATGTCAGCTAATCAGAGTCACATAATCGCTAATGGGATAATAAAGCTCCTATTCAAGGAAGAAAACAAAATAAAAAGACAACAACAGAAATGTGGAAAAATGGGAGAAATCTGAATACTCGAGAAAAAAAAATGAAATAAAAAGAAAACAATAGGAATAGAGAAATCTGAATATTTTGAATTTCATTCGGAAATTGAAAAAAATATACGATGAGTGTGGAAACCTCGCGATAGCGACCAAAGAACGTAGAGATCCACATATCGAAAGCATATCATATAATTGGATTTGATATCGGCTAATTAGAGTCACATAATCGCTAATGAGACAACAAGGGAAGATAACACAATAAATTAAAAAGAAAATGACAGGAATGGATAAAAATTGAAAAGATCTGAATACTCTGAATTTCATTTAGAGATTAAAAAAGACACGCGATGTATGTGCGAAAACATCCTGAGAAAACGTGAAGATTCACATGTTGGAAGTATATTATCATACGTATGATAAGCACTTTGGAATTAAGTATAATTTTGCGCAACGCTCGGTTCTGGCTGCAATGAAAATGCACACACACACACACACACCGAGGCGTGTCTGTTTTCGATTATTAATGTTCGCGGTTCTCTAGTGCCGTTGCGTCATCCTGTACCATGTAGCAATCAAACGCAATGGCCATTCAGCGAAATAAGTGACACAGATTCGTTATTGTCGGAAACATGCTGTTAGTGCATACGCGCGCACTGTTACGAGTGGGTGAGATTTGATTTTCTAGCTTCGATAGCGACGAATTGTACGATAAACAGCTCTTCCATATTATATCTGTCCTATATTGCTTTCATGTAATAAGGAATCTCTACAGAGATACATCCGACGTCGCGTTCAATCCCGTCCATCCAACAAAATTCGAGAAAATAGAAGAGAAAATGTAGAAGTTTTATGTCTCTCTCTCTCCTCGAAAGACTCGTTCCGCAGCGAGGCGACCGATCGCGCAGGCGATGAATAAGGTAAGACATGAGTAATATTAATTCAGAACGGATGCCAGGTGTCCAGCGATTAGGGAGCGTGGGTGGATCAGAGGTGTTCAGGAATTCCGTACTGCGCCCAACGCACTGAAATTCCCGAACCCTCGAAAGTGGGCGTGCGAAATGACGGATGTGACGAGGCAGTTTCTATATGCCGCGAGAAAAATGGACGGTTGACATAGATGTAAGTGGCGAAACTGATCGAAACCTGACCGCGGGGCATGAACGTCAAATTGCGAGCGGACGAAAATCGATAGTCGCGACGTTCATCGACCTTCGCGTGCTGAAGCGATCCTTTGCGTCTAAATTTAG